AAGCCCAGGGCGATAGAAAAGCAGATCAGGCCGCCAAGGAGGCTTACTGATAACACTCCCAGACCCTATGTTGCCTGAGATGCTGGATATTCTGCCCAAGATAATAAAGACTTTGTCTCTTTACTTAACACACAGGTTTAAAACAGATGGAGGTATACTTCGGATGAAAGACGCATCCTACCAGCTGAGTTGGCCAAGTCCTTGATCTACCAGATCCACATAGGAATGTACTTAGGCCAAAGGAAATTAAAGGAACTCCTGAGATACTCAAGATTCAAATTTTTCAGCATAAATCAATTGGTGGAGGACTGTGTGACTTAATGCCTCCCTTGTCAGGCTACTAACCCACAAAAGAAGGGGCCCTCTCAAAGTAAAAGGGAAAGAGGAACTCCCCCTGGAGTCCACTGGGAGGTAGACTTCACTGAGACAAGATCTGGCAAATATGATACAAATACCTCCTAGTTTTTGTAGATACTTTTTCAGAGTGGGTAGAAGCTTTCTCCAATTAAAAAAGAGACAGCATCCATGGTAATCAAGAAAATCGACAAACTCCTCCTAATGTATGGACTTTCTTCGATAACAGGGTCAGAAAATGGACCAGCTTTCATCTCTAAGTAACACAAGACTTAATTAAAATATTGGGGGCTAATTGGAAATTACATTGTGCATACCACCCACAGAGTTCAGGACAGATAGAAGGAACAAATCAGACCCTAAAAGAGACTGTGACTTAATTAACCCTAGAAACTGGTGATGACTAGACAGCCCTCCTACACTTTACCATGTTCTAGATATAGAACACTTCTTACCATTGTGGGTTAATGCCTTATGAAATCATTTTTGGCAGACCCCCTCCCTTGATTCTCAGACTTCCCTCAGAGGTTATGGCTAAAATATCTGAATATAAGTTTCTTAAGTTCATTCAGGCTCTCTAGACAGTCCAGGACATTTTCCCACTCCTGACACATGTCTATGAGCTGCCACCTGCCAAGTCACATAACTATAAACCAGGAGAGCTCATCTGGGTCCAGAGACATCATAAGGAGGCCCTTGGGCCATGCTGGAAGGACCCACACACAGTGATCTTAACCACCCCAACTGCTGTAAAAGTTGATGTGATCAAGACATGGATTCATCACTCTCATCTCAAGCCTGTTCCTGATGGCTGAGCAGATGACCCTGACAACAAATGGAAAGTCTTCCAACACCCAACAAACCCCTTAAGGCTAAGACTAAAAGTCCCTGCCCTTACTTTTATTTGTTTCTGGCTCACCTTTCCACTGGCAAAATTAAACCCCAGCCCCCACCAATCACAGACTGTTAGCTGGGTTCTTTCTGATGCTGGGGATGGCACCTGTGAGTATATTCCCAGTGAGTCTTGGAGGTGTCATGGATCCAACCCACCTGCACCATGAAGTCCTCGGCTTGCTTGGCCATTCTGCCTTTCCCTACTTGTACCCTCTGCCCTGACCTTGATCAGCTCTGACCCAGGCGGCCTAACAGATATCCCTTTAACTCTGAGCCATAGCCACACCTTCACCAGATCTCAACTCAGCCTTGTGGAGGGGGTCCCATCCCCAAACCATCCCTTGCAGCTCTGAGCTGTTGTTCTTACTCCTGTGTTATTCATTATTCATTATATTAATTATCCCTGTCAAGTCTATTGTGTCCTTCTGTCTCCTGACTGAGCATTGATTCATATAATTATACATTATTATTTCAAAAGATGATAAGTGCCATGAGGAAACAGCAAATAGAATAAGATGGACAGCCACTTTGGGGACAAGGTGGTATTTGTGTTTTAATGGAAGTATCACCAAGGTAGAATGTTTGAACACAGAATCCAAGATAGTGGCAGAAATCGATCCCAGATAAGACAGATGGGAATCTTTCAGCATGAAAACAATAGGATGAGACTAAACCAAATGTGAGCAAGACAGGCAAGCCATTATTGAGACTTTATCTCAGAAGCAGAAAGGAACTAGCATGACCCAAAGAGATGATCAGGCTGCCCCATTCAACAGAGGAAGGGGCAAGCTTCCATTGGTCAGTTTCCCACTGGCCAGGACATGGTTTCAAAGGATGGTCTTCTTTTTGTGTGCAGGCATCCTTGCCCAGGGTCTTCAGGCTGATGCTGGTCAGCTCAGCCTAGGAACTGCTGAGTCCCTCCTGATGCTGTGATCATTGCCTTGTATCTCGGACTTAGGTCTGGAATCTGGGGTCAAGCTAAAGGGCTGTGAGTGTGTGAGCTGCTGAAACAAAACCAAGGATGGGGTGTAAGAAATGGGTACCATGTCTAAGAGGCAACAGCCAGGCTCACAGAGTTTTATCTTGAATAAGATACCACTGTGTGTGTGTGTGTGTGTGTGTGTGTGTGTGTGTGTGTGTGTGTGTGTTCATGCACATATGTATGAGGGGGTGCACACACATTGGGTGTTTTCCTCAGTTACTTCCCATCTTTTTTTTTTTTTTTTTTTTTTTTTTTTTTTTGGTTTTTCGAGACAGGGTTTCTCTGTGTAGCTTTGCGCCTTTCCTGGATCTCGCGCTATAGACCAGGCTGGCCTCGAACTCACAGAGATCCGCCTGCCTCTGCCTCCCGAGTGCTGGGATTAAAGGCGTGTGCCACCACCGCCCGGCCTTCCATCTTATTTTTTAAGACAGGGTTTCTCAATGAACCTGGAACTCACCAACTGGGCTAGAATGGCTGTCCACCATGTCCCAGGGGTCCACCTATCTCTACCTCCCCTGTACTGTGATTACAGGCCTGGGCCACTAAGTTCTGGTTTGGGTTTGGAGGAAGATGTGGAGGGTAGAGGACTGGTGGTGATGGTGTGTGTATGTGAAAGCCAGATGTCCATGTCAGGTATCTTCTTCCTCAATCACTCGCCACCTTAGTTTTGAGACACCCTTTTATTAGACTAGCTGGTTAGTGAGCTCTTATCAGTCACCTCCTCCCAAGTGCTGGGGGAATAGTTATACACCACCATATCCAGGTTTTTAAATGGGTTTGGGGGATCCAAATTCAGGTTCTCATGCTTGTGTGTCCATGGACCCATCACCTCTCCAACCCCAAAACATTGCTTTTAATGGCCAACATATCTATGAAAATATAAACCAAAAGGTTAAGGCAGCAGATGTGAAAGACCCAATATGAAGTTTTTCTGTTTTTCTGTTTTTCATCCTATATTAATTCCCATCAGACATCTACAGGCCCCAGCTAAGAGTCTGCATTTTTACCAAAGCAGGCTTCAACTATCTGCAAACTGAGCCTAGGAACTATGCTCAGAACCCACAAGTCAGAAGCATTATCTTACAGCAAGGTTGGTGGGAGGCTGAGAGATACAGCCCTGCTGAGTGGCCTCCAGGATTAGTGGTGTTGAAGTCTGCTAAAAGCGCATACTACAGTTCTGCTGACAGACTGTGTGACATATGCGTTGATTCTGGGGTCTTAGTGAGGACATATTATGGGATGAAGGTTTTTTTGCAAAATGATTCCCACCTTTGTCTTTGTTTACTCTTTGATCTTGAGAGACTTAGAGACTTGGGGCCCAATAGAAGCCACAGGCCAGGTGTGGTGGCTATAGTGGCACATGCCTGCCATCTCTGCAGATGGCCACATCCTCTGAAGTTCACTAATTCCTAGAGAAATACTTCATCTTCATCTACCTTCCATGTGCACAGAGCCTACACTCACCCTCCTCCTCCTCATATCTGGGTCACCATCCATCACCAGGTGTCAGTCCACTTGGGCATCCCAAGAGCCCAAGCTCTGCCATGACCCACACCAGCCACCTACACCTACCTCCCTGTGACACAGATCACCCTTTGATTCCCTCACCAGCCACCATGCAGGCTCCAACCCTATCCCAATCTCCATCTTCCCAGGCTGCCCACTACTGAGCCCTGTGGCCTTGTGTGCTGTGGCATGCCACCTGCCTGAGGACCTGAGAGTGTGAAGGAAAGTCCTTCCTTCCTAGTGATCATATTCATGAGTGTTTGTCTAAACTTTAAAAAATGGAGCCAGGGAGGCTAAAGAAATGTCTCAGTCAGTAAAGCACTTGCTCACAAGCATGGGACCCTGTACTCCATTCCCAGAATCCACATAAACAGCCAGGCATGGCAGCAGGCACTCCTAGTTCAAATGCTGGAGTGGCAGAGATGAAGGATCTCTGAGGCTCGCTACCCAGAAAGTTAGTCCAATTGGTGAGCTCCAGACCAATGAGAGACCCTGCCTCAAAAATGAAAGTGGAGGCTGAGGAGATGGTCAGACTCAGCTCTGCTCTTCTAGAGAACCCCAGTTTGGTTCCCAACACCTACATCAGGCAGTTCACGACTGCCTAAAACCCAGCTCCAGGGGATCTGATGTTCTCTTCTGCCCTCTGTGGGAATCCATATCCATATAGCATGCATTCATACAGACACATAAATACAGATAAATAAAAATTAAAAAATGAGTCCTGGGGCTGGAGAGGTGGCTCAGTGGTTAAGAGCACTGGCTGCTATTCCAGAGGTCCTGAGTTCAATCCCCAGCAACCACATGGTGGCTCATAACTATCAATAATGAGATCTGGTCCCCCTCTTCTGCCATGCAGGTGTACACACAGGCAGAACACTGTATGCATAATAAATAAATAAATCTTAAAAAAAAATGAGTCCTTTTTAAAATGGACAGCACCTGAAAAACAATACCTAAAGTTGACCTCTGGCCTCTGCACGTGCACACACACAAATCACACATGCACCCACATACACGTATGCATCCACTTACATGAAAATGCATATAAATAGAAAACGTAAAGTTAAAACAAGCCTGGGCCCATCAGATGCTGTGGCCAGGGGCCACTGACCAGCTTTATTTAAAGCAGAGGCCTGTTGGGAAGAGGTGGAGGCTCTAGGCCTGCCTTTTCCTTTCTTGACACTAAGTGTTCTGGCCAAGATGGAGAGAGCGGTGAGGATCCCCACTTCCGCTTCTGCACAGTCTCTGCAGCACTCCTCCTGCACTAGGAATCTCTCGGCAGGTCACAGGCTTCTGTAGACCCAGAAGGAGAGGAGGGGTCGGGAAGGCTTTGTGCAGTCGCCACCTTACAGAGAACTTGTGAAGCTCAGGATGGAAATAAGGGACAACCCTTTCATTACCAGCATGGGGAGGCTTCTTGGTCTTGACCGTTTGCCCCATTTTACTCCTCATAAACTCCTTGAAAATCCTCAGAGACTCTATGTTTGGATTCAGGGTGCAGTCTGCAAGGCAGGTGAGTGGTAGGAAGGTGGGGCCTCCAAATCCACATGGAGAAGAGGGGAGGAGCCTCACACCAGGCTGGAAGCAGGCAGCTCCTCCCAAGAGCCCCAGGATTTGTGATGACAGGAGCTGCTGCCCCAGGAGTACCCAGGTACAGCGTCTCCCCAGCCCAGACCTGAGAAGGACAGCAAGGAGGAAGCTCTCAGGCAGGAATCACCCTGCTTCTTACTAGGAACACCAGACACTAGACTGAAGGAACATGCTGTGGGACTGAAACCCCCAAGATGCCTCCCTTCTAAGGCTCCATAGGACAGACCTACCACCCTCCAAGTCCTAATGAGCAGGGGACAGATGCAGAATTCTCTGCACGGCCACTCTTCCTGGGTTCAGGGATGCCCTGCTCCACCCTGTCCCAGCCCCTCCAGGACAGAAGCCCTGAGCTCCACAACTCAAGCAGCATCAGGTGAGAAGACATAGAAAAGGGTTTAGTGCTCAGTTTGTCCTTCCTCAAAAGCAGGCCCAGCCCCTCAAGTGGACCCCATCTTCTAGCCTGGGCTGTAAAAATCCATCCCCCACCCAATAAAGGCTCATCCTGCAGAATGATATTCTCAGCTCCCCCAGGGGCCCCTGGCAGATCCTTGGCCCAGGCTTCTCTCCTGGGATACTGGGTCTCAGAGGTTGTACCCTGAGTCCCTCCTGACCAGAGTTATCTGCATCACCCCCAAATCCAACCCATAGTCATTTTCATGATATGAAGGCAGGGCCAGTGGGCAGGTGCTTCTGTCCTTATGTCCCTGATCCAAGACAAGACCCAGCACAGGTCATTAGTGGGACCTGTGGGCCCAAAGCCTCCATGAGGTTAATGCCAAGGGTGGTAAGACAAGAAGTAGCTTGGAGAGATGCGCAAAGAATGCTGGACAAGAGCCAGGGAGGCAGCCTGTGAAGTTATATATCAGGAAGGGTCCAGGGCACAGCACTGGAGCACACTGGCAGAGTTTAAAAGTGTGGTGAGAGCTGTAGGGCTCAGGATGGACATGTGGCTCTCCTGTATTATCCTTGTTGACCTTTGGAAGGGAGCATCCTGTGTTGATCAGGGTTTTGGACAATGTGCCCTCTAGATGCCATATCTCCACCCCTGCCACCATGACAACTGCACATGTCTTCAGATGTCTAGATGTTCAAATGTCCCAATGTCCCTGGGGCCAAATGGGCCCCAACCAGATCCCTGTAGGACCATACCAAACACTGACTGAGTCAAGGGTGCAGGAGGCAATTGAGGTGCTGGATGGATCAAAGCTGACCTAAGACTCAGTCACAATGATTGATCATGTGAGAGTCAAAAATGAGATGACCAAGAGCTTACAACCCACAGCACCAAGTCCAGGAAGTGCACGAGTGGCCCCTGGTGGGGAAGGGGATAAAGCAAGCTGGGCAGGAAGACATGGACCCAGTCCATGCCTGTGCCCAGGAGACCATGCTCAAACACAGAAGGATCTGGAACGCACCCATGAGCATCATGATCTGGTAGTACCGATAGTTCATTTTGCCCCTGAAGTAGGCAATGGCAAAGTTCTTCCCAGGCAGGAAGTGGATGTGGATGGCATGCCTCCACCCTGTGGGCAACACAGCCATGTCATCAACAGGTCTCCCTTTGAGCCTTTACTGAAGTGAGAATTGGAACCTAGCTACTTGCAGGTGAGGAATGTGCCAAGGTCCTCTCCCTCATAGAGAGTCAGCTTGAACTGAATGCAGCCAATGGGTTTCCTAGAATGCAGGGTCCAAGTACGGCTTTCCCTAGGACACCCACAGTCCTTCCTTACTCCTAATCCTGGAGCCCACGCTGGCTTCTCCAGAAGCAAGCAATGCTGTGCTAGAAAACTCTTATCCTATTCGGCACTGGCACAGAACACAGCAGGTGGAACCCCCGACCTTGTGAGCTCAGTTCAATGTCCTGAGAGCATCATTCCCGTGGTTACAGAGGTCACCTGGTGTGTTGCCAAGACAACACAAAAGAATGCCATATTCCCTGAATGACTAGCTGAGGTCAGGCAGTATGTGTGTAGCAAGGGTTAGAATTGTTTAGCAGCAGCAGAAAGGGTTGCCTCCACAGAGACTACTCACGTCAGGCTCATCCTGAACTCCAGCTCCTCAAGATTGTTTCTTTCAAAGGTGAAGGGAGGCAGCGGGTCTCTCCACTTCCATTCAGGAGTAGGCATGTCTCCTGCCCAGCACTTTATGTACCACTTTCCTAAAAGCTGGAGTAGGAGGCCACAAGTACACACAGTTGCAGGGAGAGAAGGAGCCAGGAAAAGGATCAGAGGCAGGGAAAGAATGTGATAGGGTCTCAGTGCAAGATGGAGAGGTCTGAGATGCAGGAATGGCAGGAGTCATGATCATACATGTCCCTCTCCATCATCTGTACATAGAACCAGGCAGGCAGGGCAGATGCCTCCTGGGAAACACTATGCAGGAAGAGCTCTGACTAAGTGCCCCAGTGAGAAGAAAGGCATGACTATGGCCTTGGATGCATGTTCAAGCCCCACTCCCACCACAAAAGGTCCCACCAAGGCCATAAGAGAGGGTACCTCTTCAACATCACCTGTGGCTCCCGTCAGTAAGCCTGAGGCTTACATTGGAAGCCAGTTCCTACCCTCAGCTCTCCCTCCCCAGGACCATCACCTGCTCAGCATGGGCAGGAGTCAGAGGAGGCAACATGGCTCGAACCACAGACAGCAGACCCAGCCGCACAGTGGGCTACATATGGCCCACAGAATGACAGCAGCTGCATGGTCCCAGCTCAGCTCTGTGCTCCTAGCCTTGCTGTTCCTGCTGCTGCTGGTGCTGATGGTGGTGGTGGTGGTGGTGGTGGTGGTGGTGGTGGTGGTGGTGGTGATGCCACCGCTGCTGCTGCTACTGCTGCTGCTTATCATGAACAGTGGCTTGCTATGGAAGCAGAATCCTGTCCTCCCCCTCCCTCACCAAAGTCATTGTCCACCCTACTCAGTCCAGGAGATTGCAGTTTTGTTTGGATGGATGCGAATGGAGGAACTAATTTGTGGAATTAACCTCATGACCACCTTTGGCACTTCTGAGAACCCTTGTCCAGTGAGAACATTCTCAGAGTGGGAAGTGCCCCACCTAGGAATCTGAGCCAAGACCATGACACAAGGGCCTCTTGTGCTTCACCTTCCAGGAGCAGGATCAGCCCTGGTGCTGAAGGACACTCCAGAGCTGCTTGTCTATGGCCAGGCCTCAGTCCCCACCCTAGTGAAGTCTCCATGCCTCCTGCTTCCTCCTGAGGCAGCATAGAAACAGAAGGAGAATGAAGAGACTACAGGAAGAGAAAGGAGCCGCTCTGCAGGGACCTGGTCTGAGTCTGCACAGGGCTAGAACCTCGCAGACAAGCTATGAACCATGCTTATTATGTGAATGATGAAGGACTAGCTGAAGTTCCTAGATGTGATGTGATGGTTAATCTCCATCATCAGCCTGAGGAGGTCTAGAATCACCTGGAAGACAGGCTGCTGTGTGACTTTTCTCTAGTCATCCCAAATCAGGAACCAACAACAGAATGATTACACCAGAGTACAGATGCATGGCTTTGCAGGCAAGTTTAGATGTTAATAATTTTCTACTCTAAATGTATAGTTTGGGTGTATTGGGGTAGCTTGCCAGATTTGGAGGCGGGGAGGGGGGTAGTAGCTAGACTAGCCTGCATTAGCAGGAATCTGCTGTTTTCTGTTCATTTGTAGGTGGATCTAAGCTGCCTCAAGGCATCTTTGAGTATACTCAGGTCTTATTTTTAACAAAGAGGAGAAGGCAGAAATAAGTGAACCAGGGGAAATTCTACACAGGGTAAAGGGAATGTAGACGCTGCAGGACAAAAAAAAAAAAAAGTATCTAGAAAGCAGAGTCCCCGCAGCCCTCCAGCACCATCTACTGTTAACATCTTGCCCCAGCAGCTAAGGGGAAATGGCAGCATTCAAACCTGGAAGATTTATTTCTAGGGTTCCCATCCTGTTTCAAGCTAAGGGTGCAGAATTCCCTACACAGACCCATCCTGGACTCTGGGACATCCTGCCTCACAGTGTAACAGGCCCTTTGTGAGTGACAGCTGGAGAGGACCACACAGTGGGAAGAGGAGGTTCCTCTCTGTGACTCTAGGCCCTCTGGAGCAGGACCATTTCCCAGATTGGTCCGTGGACATGCTCACCCACAGTCTGTCCTGGCCCTCTGAGGTCTTCCTTCCTCTGCTCAGCATGTCCAGGGCAGCTGCTTCTTAAGTGGCTCCAACTGCACAAGGGCCTGCCCCCAAAGGAACCTCATTCCCAGGTCACACGAAACTAGTCCAGAGGCCTTCTATCTGAGCCTCCTGCTTTCACTGGAATTAGGCGGATATTCTTAGGAGTCGCTGGGTGTCCTCTGCATGTAGCCTAGCTGTGCCCAGAGGAAAGGCTATAGTACGTGAAAACATGGGGCATATTTGTGGGAACTTCTGTGGAGATGCTAATCAATTTCTCATCTTGTATAGCCAGGGCTGAGCCATATACGTGTTCATGTTTTATATTTTCTGAATTTTTGGAGTTCATGTCTCTGGATCTCTCTGACCATAGAGGGCCTCATCCCCATATAGTTAATTTCTAGAGCTAGTAAAATCCTGCCTTCCATGTGCACAGAACCCACATCCACCTTGCTCCATCACGTCACACCTAAGCCACCATCCTTCACCAGGTGTCCAGACCACTAGGGACATCCTGAGGTCCCAAGCTCTGCAGTGACCTACATCAGCCAACCTACCCCTGCCTCCCTGTACGCTGGCAACCCTTTCCTCAGCCACTAACCACCATGTAGGCCCTGCCCCCATCCCTCTCTCCACCTGCCCAGTTTGTCCCCTACTGTGGCCCTATGTGCTGTGGCATGGCACCTGTTTGGGGACCTGTGAGTGTAAATGAAAGTCCTTCCCTTCCTAATGGTCACAGTCATGTTTGAGCATCTGCCCACATTTGATGAACACAAAGTCAGGGCCTACTGGACCCCACGAGACACATGTGATCAGGGGATATCCACCAACTCTATTGAATGAAGATTCTCGGAGGGATGAGTTTGACACTGTGAGTTCTACCTGCAGGAGCAGAGGTTAGCCATGGCCCCAGCTCCCAATTCCTGCACGGACTCTGCAGCACTCCTTCTGTGCCCTCGGAATCTTGGACCAACTCACAGGCTTCTATAGACCCAAGAGGGACAAAGGGCAGAGCAAACTTAGGTGAGCTATGAGAAAAAACAGGCTGTCACCATTTTACCGAAGAAATATCCAGAGCACAAGCCTGGGTGAGGAGAACGGAGAAAAGGGGGAGTGAGGAACCCTTTTTCTTACCAATATGGGGACAGGTTATGATCCTTCTTGTCTCTGGGATTTTACTCTCCACAAATTCCTCAAGATCTTCACAGCATCTGGGTCTGCAGAGCAGACAGGGTGGAGGTAAGTGGTAGGAAGGCAGGGCCTTCAAAAACACAGAGAAGAAGAGAGGAACCTCACTCCAGGCTGGAAGCAGGCAGCTCGTCCCAAGAGCTACTCTCCCAAGTGTACCCAGGAGTGGGATCTCCTCAACCCAGACCTGAGGGGAGCCTTCAGACTGAATCACTCTGCCTCTTACTAGGAACACCAGTCACTAGACTGAAGGAACATGCTGTGGGACTGAAACCCCCAAGATGCCTCCCTTCTAAGGCTCCATAGGACAGACCTACCACCCTCCAAGTCCCAGTGAGCAGGGGACAGATGCAGAATTCTCTGCACGGCCACTCTTCCTGGGTTCAGGGATGCCCTGCTCCACCCTGTCCCAGCCCCTCCAGGACAGAAGCCCTGAGCTCCACAATTCAAGCAGCATCAGGTGAGAAGACATAGAAAAGGGTTTAGTGCTCAGTCTGTCCTTCCTCAAAAGCAGGCCCAGCCCCTCAAGTGGACCCCATCTTCCAGTCTGGGCCATGAAAATCCATCCCCCACCCAATAAAGGCTCATCCTGCAGTGGGAGGGTCCCTGTATGTCCTCAGCTCTTCTAGGGCCCCTAGAGAGTCCTTGGCCCAGGCCTCTCCTCTGGGGTACTGTATCTTAGATGTTGTATCCAGAGTCCCTCCTGACAGGACATATGCACATCAAAAATCCAACCCAAGGCACTTTCCCATCACAGCCTCACCAAAGACCCTGCTTTCTGTGGAGGTTTGTGCCTCCAATGATATCATGATGGCCAGAAAGAAGAAAGGACATGAGAAAGAAAGTCTCTCTGTTAGAATAGTAAGCCCCATGATGGAAAAACCCCACAAATGGACAGTAGTATCAGGACATAATATCATGAATGTAATAAGTCAATACAATTAATGTAATTAATGAATATCATAAATATAATTATTGAATGAATACTGCGAATGTAATCAATGAATACCACAAATGTAATTAATAACTTGAGTGTAATTAATGAATATTATGAGTGTAATTAAAAATAAATAAAAAAAGCCCCTGAAATTCTTGTCTATGAGTAAAAGGGCAGGGTGCTTCAGCCTAAGACCCTGAACAGGCCACTTTGGGGGCCTTTTCTGCCCAGAGCCTCCAACTGGTAGGTTCAATGGGGCCAGCACGGGAGGAGAAGAGTAGGTAGGTAGAGAATGCAGGGTGGAAGAGAAGGAGGCAGGCCAGTGCCACCCCGGGTTAAGAAGGATCGTGAGTGCAGATTTGCTGAATGCTGGCAGAGGTGAGAAGTGTGGTGAGGGCTGCAGGATGGACACATGGCTTGCTCTCTCTGCTCATAGTGTTGGCAGGTAAAGGTCATATCTCCATCTGGCACTGCTGACCTTGGAAAAGAGGACTTTTGGGTGGGGGGCATCCTATACCCAGTAGGGAATTGGGTCGAATTCCTGCATCCATTCTCTGAATACTGCAATCCCTCCCACCATGACAACTGTGCATGCTGCCCCATGTCCCCAGTGAGGAATGGGCCACAGTCAGACCCCTGATCACAGCAGAACCATACAAAAGCTGACCAATGGGGGAAGGGAGTAGCCAGGGACTGGCTGGGTCAGCAGTAGAGGTGAACTTCTGATACCAGGGTTGGTCATATGAGAACTGAAGAGAAGAAGAAGAAGAAGAAGAAGAAGAAGAAGAAGAAGAAGAAGAAGAAGAAGAAGAAGAAGAAGAAGAAGAAGAAGAAGAAGAAGAAGAAGACGACCACCACCAAGGGCTCACAAATCCCCCTCCTGGTGAGTCCAGGAGAAG